GCCCTTAACATATTCCTCCCGGTATTAGATGAAAGAAACACTCTAAACTATTAATTAAAACTATTTTAAAAAGGGAGCAACATGACTGCGTGGTAAGCTTCTTTACCACTTAAACTTTTTTATGCCATTTTAACTGGCTGCTTGTGCACTTCGGAACAGTTTTACTTTTCTTCTCAGCTCAATGTCAGACTGTGTAAAAGCATATATTTGGCTAATGAAATCCTCCTGCACGAATATGATACTGCTCAGGCCTCATTATTGACTTCTCAATGCTAAGCAATAAAAGGTGACATGCCACACCATTATCTAGGGGTACTGGGTACACCAAGGCCTTTAACCGCCTCCCGCCCGCCATATAATGAAATGACGGGCGCAAGGCGGTTCTCTCGTTCTGGGAGGACGTCATATGATGTCCTCCCACTCTAACCACGCGTGCGCCTCCCCGGGGGCACGCAGCCCGGCGATCAGTGGTGCGCTGTGTTCCTGGGACACAGCGGATCACAGATCAACAGAAAGAGCCGAAGACGTCGGCTCTGTCATGTGATCAGCTGTGTCCAATCACAGTTGATCGCATGTAAATAAGGAAATGCCGGTTATCACACTGACCCGCTCGAGAGGAGAGGAGAGCCGGTAATCAGCATTACTCAGAGGGGACAAGTACACTGATCATCGGGGCACTGATCATCAGTGTGCCCTGATGATCAGTGCAGCCCCATCAGTGCCGCCTGCCAGTGCCCATCAATGCCACCTGCCAGTGCCCATCAATGCCACCTGCCAGTGCCCATCAATGCCACATCAGTGTCACATATCAGTGCCTACCACTGCACATCAATGCCCATCTAAGCGGCCTCAGTGCCACCTATCAGTGCCCTAATAAGCGGCCTCAGTGCCGCCTATCAGTGCCATGAGTGCTGCCTTTCAGTGCCTATCAGTGATTCCTGTTAATGCCCATCAGTGATTCCTGTCAATGCCCATCAGTGCCACCTACAAGTGCCCACCACTGCAGCCTCATTAGCGCACATCAGTGAAGGAGAAAAATCACTTATTTACAAAATTTTATAACAAACTAAAAAAAAATGGTTTTTTTTTTAATTTTCAGCTTTTGGTTTGTTTAGCAAAAAATAAAAAACCGAGGAGGTGCTTAAATACCACCAAAATAAAGCTCTATCTGTATAAAAAAAAAAAAGATAAAAATTTCATATGGGTACAGTGTTGCATGACCACACAATTATCATTCAAAGTGCGACAGCAATGAAAGCTGATAATTGGCCTGGGCAGGAAGGGGGTATAAGTGCCCTGTAGGCAAATGGTTAAGGAGGAGCATTGCCCTAAATGTAGAAAGGGATATATTTATTTAAAACAGCTATGCAAACTTTTACGGGTATGTTTGTTATTTTATTAAAAAAGTTAACTTTAGTAACAAGTTATACTCACCTGCTCTAAGCAATAGTATTGAACAGATCGACCTCAAACCTCCTCTTTGCGGGTTCCCCACTGGCACTGTCCATTCCTCCTCTTCAGTGCCTGCCCCCATAGCATGGGCTTGCAATGGGGGCAGACATGCAGACTTGCTCCAGAGCCGGGTTGTGTGTCTATAGATACACATAGCTCAGCTTAGCAATACTCCCCACTCCCTCCTCACTGGATTTGAATGAGAGCAGCCTTTATGACCAGCAGCGAGAGAGAGCAGTGATGCTGCTCTCTGGCACAACATTGGATCAAGATCGGGCTTCGGTAAGTACTTATTTAGGGGGGGCTGGAGAGTAACTAATCTCCCGAGCCAGGCTTTGTGGGTCTTTAAAACACACATAGCACAGCTTGGCCCTGCTTCTCACCCTCTCCTCACTGGATTATATTGATAGCAGCAGGAGCCAATAGTTAATGCTGCTGCCTCTATCACCAGTCGGGAAAGAGAACAGTGATGCTCAGGTAAGTATTTATTATTTCTGGGCTGGAGGTAAGCTAACCTTGTAAGGTTTTTTTTTTTAACTTAATGCAAAGCATGCATTAAGGTAAAAAAAAAAAAAAATCCTTAGCCGTTACAACCACTTTAAATCTGAACTCCAGGAAAACAACTAAATATGCAGCTAAAATACATATATGGGAGCTTTATTACCTGCCGTTTGTATTTCTGTCCATTAATGGGATTTACCATCCTTGAGATGTGATTTTTCTCTGTTACAGTTAAACAAAACAACTAGGGTCTTGTTCCTGCCCATAACCTCAGATTGAACAGTAAAAAAAAGATGCAGCAGACTGACAAGGACATTTTTGTCACTATGCTCTCTCCTCCTATCAGCATGCTCTTAGTTAGCATAAAAGGATACAGCACACCTGAATGGCTCCTTGTGATCGCTCCTAGTCCCAGTCTAAGCTCTGCAGTATAGGAGACTGCAATAGGCTGATACTAAATCAAATGTAGGTACTAACACTGATTGCTTTTAAAAATAAACTAAATGACTTGTTAAACACACGCCTGTGTAAATGAGTGTTTTTGTTTGGTAATCTGCCTGGAGTTTGGCTACATCTTTCTAGTGCAGCATGGGTTAACCAACAACCTTAATAGACTAGACTTTACAGTTTACAAGACAGCAATAACAGAAGCAGGAGGGAGGATAAAAAAAAATATGAAAGAATTTAAATCCCTGCAACAGTTTCACCAATTAGCTTAATGTCAGAGAATTCTAATTAGGTGCCCTGAGATTGCTATTTAGCACTAAAGCTTTTTAGAGTGCCAAATTCTCCTTTTCACACAAACCAATTGCAAAATTAAAGACATTAGGCCGCCTTAATTACATTATCACAACAGCTGGGATTAGGCAATCTATGAAGTCAAGGCAGGATTCTTTTGTCACAAGGTAGAAATCCCTCGCCGCGCAGGGTGCTGGATTTCGGAGCCTGCGTCGTATCTCCTCCGCACAAAGCAAGCTGTATTAGGTAGAAAAAAATATGGCGAAACAAAAGAGACTGAGGGTAATGCTTTGCAAATAATGAACGGGCGAGGAAGAGGGAGACGGTAGGGTGAAAAGATTAAGTCTCCAATCGGCGGGTTTTGCTAACACTTCGACTGCTGGCTTGAGGCCTACACCAATCCTCTGGTGACAAAGAGACTAAATCGCTGCCGAAGAAAAAAAAATAATAATCATATTGCTTGGCTGCATATTCACATCTGCCATCTAAAGCTGGAACCCATTTCATCCTTGTTGCTCCCATGAGGTGTGAAATTAGCAGCAAAACCACATTATTTTGTTTTCGGCCTTTTCTTTTCCTGCACAATAGCGTCTTATGTTCGCATTGTTGCCTGGACTGTGTTTTCCACAGATCTGATCCCATTGTGAAAAATGTAAGTCTTTTGTTTTGTGTGGATTTTTATTTTGGAAGGGAAAAGATGCATATTACTGCCAGTGAAGACTTCAGCAGCACAATGATGAAAAAAAACTGTCAACTTCGACAAAAATCTAGTATAGTAAACTGTACAGAAAAGAAAAATAGGAAAAAGTGAGGTCCAAGTAAAATCGAAAAAGGCCAAAATATGACCCCCAAAAAGGCATATAAGGATTGTGAAAATTAAAAAATATAGGAGATGCCTTCCCACCCCTATGCTTCCTTACACTTTACTGAAGATATGTCCTGTTCCAAAATATGAGTCCGGTTGTATAGAATCTGCCAGATAGAAGAAGTCAAAGAAATCTTTAAAGTTTCACCAAAGAAATGAGCATACAGAAAGATTCCTCACAGCTTTGAAAAATAAAACAGCATATCAACACTCCTGTGTAGTGATATTATCCGCAGGCTTACTGGTTCATTAATATGTAGTACCGCTCCTCCTCCAGGTCGAATGACACCCATCGTCAACTGCCTTCCTGTGAGCCCAGGGCATCAAGGCTCATCCCCCTGCCCTCAGCTCATGAGAACATGCTGCAGATTAGCGCCATGTCATTACATGGTGCCATGCTCTACAGCAGGAGGTCGCATGAATATGGCCCAACAAAAAAAATCAAAAAAACTTTCTTAAAAATATCGGGTTTTTAAAAAAAAAATTTTTTGTTAAAAATGCATTTACATTTAACCAAAGAAAAATTTGACAGTGTCTCTTTTTTGGACATTTATAAGTTTTATCTTCTCAAAAAAAAATATCCTACTTTTCACAATCACACCTTTTTCATGTTGTCAATTTTCGACAGCACCTATATTTTTGAGCAACTATTTTCAAGGATGAAGCACATGAAGGGAAAAATTAGAACCAAAATATCTGGTGAGCACCTTGAGAATTCATTGACAATTGCTACTACATTCATTGAATCCAGTTTATCAAAAATGGTGTCACATATCACACTAGTTTTAAGTGATCTGCCCGACTTTTTCTGCTCATCAGCTGTCCTTATTGCTAGTGTGTTTTATGTGTGGCCCAAGACCATTCCTCTCTTTCCAACATCGCCTAGGAACATCAAAAGGTTGGACACCTCTGCTCTAAAGCTTTTAGGATCTGCCAACTATCAAAGGAAGAGGACGAAGAAGAACTGTTAACGACACTGCTCAAAACATAGATTTTATTTTTGTGTGTAAACGGTGATGGGGTTCCTCCGAGGCTGAGGGGGGGTTTCTGCAAAGACACTGTTGGACTTTAAAAATGTAACCAAAAAGAAAGTTAGTTGACATTGATGCAATGGTAGACTCTTACACACGGACGCCTCCAGTACTGTAATATATGGTCCCAAGCACTAGTTTTTTTAGGCCCAGTATGGTCACTATTGGAGCATGCTCTGTTGTCCCTGTTGAAAGATCGCTTCAGGCCCTCTCTGTATGCTTAGCAGGGAAGGGGGGAGGGGATGGCTGAAAACCAGCTTCATCTATTGTGATTGTTGTAAGGCTAGGGGTAAAGAACAAAAAACTTATCAAGATAACCAAAAAAAAAAAAAATAGGCCCACAGTCAGCCATTTTTGTGAACACTTTGGAACAAAGTATACGCTTGAAGTCAAAGTGCCTTTAAAAGACCTACCTGTCCTGCAAGCTCCAATCTCTTATTTCCATAATAATCTCGATCATCCACTTTATTTTCCCCTTGGGCCAAAATCACTCTGCGAACCATCACTGCCGTGTAGATGCATTTTGCTCGAAAATTGAACTCTTTCACCTAAGAAAAAAAAAAAAAAAAGAACAGAATAAATGAATCCATATTACCCAGAGCAATTTATAGTCAGGTACCTCATGCTGCCACAATGGCGTTTCCAAAATAACAAATGTTAAGATATACATGAATAAAAATACACAGTTCTATATAATAATTTATTTAGATAACTGTCATTTGTTCACACTGTTCTATCTTCTGAAATGGACAATACAATGAGTATGTAAATTGTCAAAGGAATCAAATACTGATCTCGTGATACGCATTACATTAAGGCCTTGTTCACATGGTCAAAAAAAATAAATAAAAATGAAAACAAAAAAAAAAACACACAACACACGTGTGTTTTAATTATGGATCTGCTGAACGCAGCTGCAATTTTTTTCAATGAAGCCATTCACACAGGTGTTTAAACATGCACTGCATTCAGATCCGCAACACAGAATCCAAAGATCTGCATCTAAGAACATGTGCTTTACGTGCTTACATGTATAAACTAATGTATACACATTTGTAATTAAGTCCAAAGGGGAAAAATAAAGTATCATAAAAACAAAATTATGCACCCATATGCGTCTTTAAGCATTTATCGCATCTGAATGCATAGATTTTGCTGATCATTATGCTGGCCCTTTTCTCCTAGAAAACAAGTGTAATAACATCAGTAACATTTTTACAGCCGTGTGAATGAAACCTAAAGAGTTTCTTGTAAAGAAACTGCCAAAATTCCAGAAATTCCTTCTGGCACAACTGCAGAAACCGCTGTCAAACACAAATTGTTTAGCTTATTAAAACAACTAACCAATGCACAACTGGTGAACAATGTCTATTTTCATGTCTGTCCCTGGAGCCACTCGTGTCACTGCTCTTTGAATAGGTTGATGGCCAGGGGGAAGCGGTTAAAGACACCATTCTTCCCCACTTTCATGTATTATTTGTCTTGTGTTAAACTGCATGAAGTGATCATTTTTCTGTAGCAGGCTAACATCTAGTGGCAGTTTTGAACCACTACATCTTGTTTATTAATGTGATTTTGGTAACCTCCTCTGTCCTCCCCTCCTGTTTAGTGCTAGTTTAGTCCTAGCTAGACCATCCCCATTTATTCTATTCTCCATCAGTCATTGTTATTATTCACTGCGACAGGGCTCAGGAAAGTGACTGTCTTCTTACACTTTAAAAGACTGGAAAAACATCCTCTGTACTGCAATAAGCTGAAGTAAAATGGTTGGATTCAACTTCTGTGTCCTACTGAATAGTTAAAGCTGCCTGTAGATGGTGCCAAATCAGCAGGTGACCATACTGTCTTGATAGACCAGCTCTGAGGTGGTTAGTCAATGCATAAAGCGGCATTTGAAATTAATATGTATTAATATGCGAATGTATTTTATACATTCCTTGAAGGAAAGAAAGGCAACATACATGTCATTACCACAGGACTACTGGCTGGGAAGCCAACAGTCTACTGTATTGAACAGTTTAAGCAAAAGACAAACACAATGAAAACAACAAAGTTTTATTAATTTTTTTTTATTAATCAATCAAGTGGCTGGATAGTAGCAGCAGGCATAAACATCAGGAACAGGAACTCTACCAGTCCATGCGTTGCGTGCCATACAGTGAAGCACATGAAAAGCATGCTTCTTCACGGTCACTTAACGTGTTCGTTTTGCGGTTACGTGAGGCACTGCATGCATTGGTCTTTATTCTTACAGTAGAGAAGTCATTAATTATAACTTTTTGTGAATTTGGACATTTAAACTTGCTTTTTTTTTTTTTAATTCCAATCTAAATTTAATCGGAGTCAGAGCATTGTTTGCCGACTCCGACTCCAGGTACCCAAAATTTCCTCCGACTCCACAACTGACTCCACAGCCCTGTGTGAAGGTATAAATTTTAAAAGGAAACTTGCCATGAGAAACATGTAGACTGCTAATACTGAACTCTTCATAAAAATAAAGCTGTTCAACCTCATGTTGGCATATTAAAAAAAAGCCGTGAATGTGACTTTCACCAAACATTCACAAGTGGTAATCAATCACAGTCTGCTAAAATGCATGTGCATGGAGGATTCATCTGCAGTGAATATCAGATTCACTACTTTATAAATATGCCTTTTGGAGTTGCTAATCCAAAACAAGCATGATGATTTTTTTATGTGAATACTTGTTCTAGGTTACACTCATGACTAGATACCTGTAGAGACATATCAGTTTAAGCTCCAGAACTTGCATTTGTGCCAGAGAAGCTAAGAAGTTGTCCCATGCTTAACCCCTTCCCGCCGACGCCTCCCGGCCCTTTAAGAGATTCTGACGTCGGGAGGCGGGGCGGTGGGGGCGTGGTTTAGGAATCATGTGACCGCCGTGATGACGCGTCACGGCGGTCACATGATCGGGAAAGGTCCCGTTCGAAAGAGCGGAGCGGGACCTTTCCGTGAGTACTACACATGTGTGCGGGGAGCGCGCAGGGCGCGCGCTCTCAGCACATATGTATTTAGTTCCATGGACGCAAATGTGCGGCCGCTCGGCGTCTAGGCCCAGACGCCGGGAGGCCGCACATCTGCGTGCGGCCGGCGCAAAGGGGTTAATATACTGTTTGTCATGGAGCATAACGCCGGAAGGGGGAGCAGGATTAGCGCAAGCATGCAGCAAGTAAATATCACTAAAGTATAGAAAAGCCCAGTTGTCATGTCAAATCATTAGATTTCACATATAAAAAGTACAATATAATTTCTGGACAGTACTCCCTAAAGGACATGTTAAAGGATAAGTTCACCTTTTAGACAAAAATAATAAATGCACATTTTTTTTTGCAGGTAAAAAATATGTGCATTTATTATTTTTGTCTACAGAAGCCTGGAAAGCATTGCACCAGCAATAAGTAGATAACTGATACCATGCAGGTCTCCTGCAGACCTGTCAGAATATCTGTTTGCCGTATGGGATGTACCAGCAAGCAGATGTTCTCACAGGAAGCTTCAATGAACTACCATGGCGCTCCACAGCGCTTTGAATACTACAAGCCGACAGCTGCTAAGGCTGTTGGGACTTGCAGTTCATTCATTCACAGAAGTCCATGAATGAATGGTGGCCGTGTGGGTGGAGCCTAGCACAACTGCAATGTTTTCAAATTTTACAGATAGTACTATCAGAGGGAGGGGGGTGGGTGGCAGCTATGGGAATATGTTACATGTTTCACCCGTTTTCACAGTGGAACATGTAACATGTTTCCAAAGGTGAACTTATCCTTTTAAAAAAAAAAAAAAATTAATACTGCCTCCTCCTACTAGCCAAAACAAAACTGAGAAAGTCACCTCTGTTGTAAGTTTTCATAGTCCAGTTTACCCTGAGCAGGGGTACTCCGTGCAGTAAAACAAGAGAATTCCACTCCCATCCCAACCACTGTTGGATGTAGGTCACTTACGGGCACATGAGTCAGGATAGTGGATGCAAGAAGTTCCCGGGCTTCATCCACTCTGGTCTTTTTGGGCCCCTCCTCCTCCCCACATTCTCTGTCTTCTAACCTTATTACCAATGTATTTTAAAGCCTGGAACAGAAAAAAAAAAAGAGAAAAAAAACCCTGTTAATGCAAGGAAACAGAAATTCTAGAACAAATCCATTTAGTCCCCAGAGTTTGATGTGAGGGGCAATTTTACAACACTGCTAATCAAAGTACTCAAATTGTATAGCAGATATAAACTGTAACTGGACAACAGTTTGTTAAAGCACTGGGTGTCTAACTGCCATTTTTCCTCTTTTAGGCCTGGTTCGCACCTGCGTGTGCATGGCAGCTCATTCATTTGAATAAGCTGCTGTGCCTAGAGTTGCCACAGAAAAAAAAAAAAAAAAAAAAAAAAAAGCATGCACCTTTTTCAAAATGCAGCCACAGCCACACACAGCCCATTTTTCCTGAGGTTCCCAGACCTGCAAACCCGCTGCAGGTTGAGATGCGTGGGGGTGCAATTAAGGAATGATGGCAGCCCTGCCCATCTCTACAGAGCAGAGCAATGTCACTGTGGGTGGTTGGTAATTGCCACACATTGCCACACCCACAATCACTCGCACAGGTGAGAATCAGGCCTTTGAAAATACCGTTTTTAAACTCTTCATTCTGCATTTCAGTGTTACAGATCTCCTCCAGCATTTCTTTCAGTCATTTTTTGTCTAAATATATGCACTCCAGCATTGTCTGACAGTGAAAATGGTGAACCATACCATGCATAGCTCCTTATAGTCTTTATTGGTGGCTCACCTGGACTCTGTGTGATAGTGCCCAGCACTGTCACATGGAGTGGGTCACGTGCCCCTCCATAACCAAACATATCAGGTATTTCCATTTAAATTTTGTATTAAATGAAGTGGCAAGGGAATTAAGGAAAAGTACGTACATGATATGCTGGGAGTGTATGCTGTGTATGTATATACATGAATATTATTTCAAGGTTTTTCTTTGTGGGGGAAATGCACATGGCCAGGTTAATAAATCCATCTTCCTCCCTTGTACAACTAGCAGCTGTCCTGTATAGCACTAAAACCCAACAAGCAGGATTGACCCAACACTGATAGGGCAAAAACAAAGGATTTAGTATGTTACAGTAACTAAAACCACCTGGGCAGTTCTGTCTCCAGCCAACTGCGTCACTTCAAAAGAGAAAACAAAAATCAAAATCAATAAAACTTTATTTCGTGCTAAGCACTACAAGAAAGCACTGTAATTGGGATTCCGTCTCACCAGAGCCACATTTGAATTGTAGGCTTTATTCCAACAGCTCAGTTATGTATTGAATATTTCTTTTATTTATTTTTCAGGCACAAAAGAACTTGGGTGCATGCCATGATTACTGTATAGTATTCCCAAAAAAAAAAAAAAAAACAATCTGGAAGTTTTAATGATCATTTAAAATATAATAGACACACCTGCATCTGGGTGAAGATCTGAGCTTTTTGGCATTCTTCCAGGCTGGGGGCAAAAGCTGCCATTACATGTTCCTCAGTTCCGATCATCTGGACGATTTCTTGGTCGCTCTCAACCCCCATGGCCTATATGAAGAACAAAAAGGATGAATGGAAGGTAAAATTAAAGAATAAGGTACTCTGAGAAAATTGGATACTAGATACCCTGTCCCAGGATCAGTCCTCCTATTACCAACATGCCTTATGTTTTTGTAGTGAAGCAGTACTGATCATAAAACACAAAATGATAGGACCTGTGTCCCTCAATGGACTTTTATGGACTTCCCTCAATGGAGTATTTTATGGAGAGTACAAAAATCCTTGATTCTTTATTGTCCACTAAATGGCAAAGGCTAACTTTCACCTTTGGTATGTCCAAAAGCTGTCCTGCTGAGGAGTGGGCAAAACAGCAAACACCAACAGGCCCAAGAAAATAGAAAACTGGGAACTGGCTTCAGCTCAAAAAAGCCACCTGAAAGACTTTATACCCAAAGCTGATATCAGATGCCCCATCCACCTATTAAAACAGAGAACATGTGGCAGCTTTGCATTTCTGAGAAACGGTTTCTAGATGTCGAAAAACCCATGAAACACTTACAGATTGAGTAAAATGCACCTTGACAGAAAAGGGTGGAGAAGGATTCCTCAGATCATAACCTTGAATGATGGCCTATCTGGGCCACCTAAGAATGATGAGACGAGAAGCTGGAGAACCCTCATGGGGCTCATCTAAGACTCCAAAAATGAGACGTGTATAGGGGATTGCAAAAGCTGAGAGGCTGAGAGATAGACTCTCATAGCCCAAACATCATCCAAAAACAGTGGGAAGTTTCCTTTTGGTCAGTGATGTCCACCGAAGCTAGCAAGTCTTTCTTGTAAAGGGAGGCAATGACAGACTTGATGGATTCTATATGGAATTTCTAAACTCAAACAAGGACATATAAATTCAACATGAGGTGCCCCTTTATGTTTGGGAAGGGTGAATAAGTTGGAGTAAAACACCAGAGCCATTAGTACGATGTGAGCTGGGGACCCCAGTACAGTAGGACTGTGCCCACCCAACCTGTTCATTCCCCTTGGATTAAAGTATAACAAATAAAATGAAAACACCGCAAAGCAGGTCTGATCCAAGTTTGTAGCTGTGAAGCATCAACTTCATTGATCTTAGTTACTACACATTGATACATTATAGTTCTTGTGTGAATGACAGCAAGAAGCCTGCAGATTACCAACAAAATAAAATGCAATAAACTAGTGGAGTACATCAGTTACAGAATTAAAAGCTGAACGTCAGCTATAAACGGTATGACTGAGCAGTCCAATAGGCACCAGCGTTTGACCATACTGTCAGGGGCACACTTTGACCTGATCAGACCCACAACTTCTCTTGCTCAGCAGTACAAGTTTATGTGAAGACACCTGCGATGAGGATGTGGCTGTTCTGTAGCTATCACAGCAAAGAACACTGGAGTCGAAGGGGAAGAAACATTTCAAGTAATAATAATAGTACTAGTTGTAGTAATTGTTATTTCCAGACATTTCCAAGTGAAAAGGAGGTAAAAATCCTAAATATACAGTCCCAAAAAAAAAAAAAGAAGAAGAAGGAAACATCAACTGGGCTTTAAATTTCTAATCTGGCTAGAGTCTGAATAAAGCTACCTTGGTCAAAGCAGCCACATTTGCTGCCCTGTAAATATGAAGAAAGCGATCTTCCTGCTTGTGAGAGGCATCAAAATCTTTTCTTTCTTCCACCACATCTCAGTACCATCATTGGCTTCCGATTGCCCAACGGAACAAATTCAAAATTCTAACTTTGCCGTACAAAGCTGTTCATAACACTGCCCCAAACTACATCACCGACCTGATATCCAAATACAACCCCTAAACGTACTCTCCGCTCCTCATAAGACCTCCTACTCTCCAATTCCCTGGTCTCCTCCTCCCATGCCCGCCTCCAGGACTTCTCCAGGGCTTCCCCCATCCTCTGGAACTCACTACCCCAATCCATCAGACTATCACCTACCCTCCTCTCCTTTAGACGCACCCTGAAGACCCATCTCTTCAGGGAAGCCTACCCCGCCCTTAGCTAATTGCCGATTTCCTACCACTCCATCCCCCACAGCTATCTCCTCCTGTACCACTATCCCCTCCCTCCTAGATTGTAAGCTCCAAGGAGCAGGGCCCTCGAACCCCTCGTGTATCGAATTTTATTGTTACTGTACTGTCTTGTGTACTGTCTCCCATTGTAGTGTACAGCGCTGAGCAAACCGTTGGCGCTATAAAAATACTGTATAATAATAATAATGTGTTCATTGCGCTATTTGTTTACATCAATATTGAGCCCTCCACTGGAATGACTTGCGGCTCTGATCACACTCACATGTGTAAAAACTGAGACATCTGGAAAAGCACAGAGCATAATGGGCTAGCCTGAACCATTAAAGCCGTTTCAATGCTGGAGGTTAAACCTTCAGGCATGTGAAAACATACGCTTGGCAATAAAAAATAGAGGGAAAACACAAAAATCTGGATGACATATTTGCTCAATTTGGGATTTTGCTTGTTGTTGGAAAGGTGCTTACACTGTAATGATCATGTAAAGTGTTTTTTTTTTTTCCAAGCTGCAGTGTTCAAAAAAACACCTTGGCATATTTTACATCTTGGGATATCATGCACAGCTCAGCAAACAGCCAATGAGATTTTGTTTTGGCTCAAAAGGTATGTCATTAATGGTGTTCTCTAGGTGGAAAGAAGTTCATCTAAAAACCCCAAACACCATTGCAGCAAATATATTATATTAAGGGTGTACTATGGCCAGACAAGAGAGTTCTGCGATTCAACCCTCCCTCGAGACCAGACCTATGGGAAAGTTCACACAAGAGCTTTTCAAGCCGGTGATTTTTTTTTCTTTAAAGGTATACTACAGTCAAAACTGAAAATGAATCCTCAAGATGCATATACTGTAATAAACATAACCCGTGCTCCCATGCTTTTAATCAAGTCATTGCTGCAGCTTACCAATCCAACTCTAGGTAATTTGTCAGTAATCTGCGATTTACCTGCAAGGAGGACTATTCCCAAACACACCGACTATAGACTTTTTGTTGTTTATCACATAAAGAAAGCCTGTAGGAATAGGCAATGTAAAACACAGAAGCAACTCTCTTCACTTAAGTTGTCATAATGGCACAGACTAAACTCTAAGGGGAAGAGCTGTGTACTGTTATTTACTTGTGTTCTCCTTTCCTGCCTCATGGGATAGTCTTGCTTGAAAATTATTTAAAGCTGATCTCCAGCTTTTTGTGAAGTTTAACCACTTCAAGTCCAGACACCTTCACCCCCTTCCAGCCCAGGCCAATTTTCAGCTTTCAGTGCTATCACACTTTGAATGACAATTACGCGGTCATGCATCACTGTAACCATATGAGTTTTTTAGCATTTTTTGGAGACAGATAAAACTTTATTTTGGTGGTATTTATTCACCACTGGGATTATTTTTTTCATATCAATGAAAAAGTTAGAAAAAAAGTGTTTTTCTTATAAAGTTTTGCAAATAAATAATCTTTTTTCATAAATCTTGGCCAAAATATATTCAATTATCTTTTTAGTAAAAAAAAAAATAACCCAAATTAGTTTATAACCAAAAATTATAATTTTTTTTTTACATTTTTATATTTATTTGTATTTTAACATACTGTCACCCTAGCAGTACAGTGTCACCATGGTGACACTGAACTACTTGTGGGGGGTGATGAAGATTTTTTTTTTTTTTTACACTGATTGCTTTTACACCCATAAAGGCTGTAAAAGCAATCATTGCTCCTCTCTGGCTGCATTCTTGCAGCCATTGAGAAATAATGTGTGAGCTGTGATTGGTCATAGCTTGTCACATGGTACAAGGCTGTTGTGAATAGCCTTGTACCATGTGACATCTGTGATCATTCACAGATTTCACACGTAGTAAGCAATGATGTCAGAAGTGACATCTTGCTTACTACTCTGCATATGATCACTGATTGGCCAATCATATGATCGGGACTTCGCACAGAGGTCCCGTCCGACGATCGGTGTTCAACTGTGTCCGGAGGACACAGCGGGCACAGGATCGTGGTGCTGCTCGCTCCCAGGGAGCGCGCACAAGCAGGAGGCCATTTATAACGGCCACCATCCGGCTGTTTATATACGACGGCCGGACGGAGGTGGTTAAAAAGTTTATTGGACCAAGCTGGTACATGCAAACTATTTATTTCACTCAAAGATTCAGCAGCTCTCAGCATTCTATGTGTTGTATGTAACTGAGTCAGGTCTCTGCTTCAGCTAATCAGGGAAAGCTTTGTATTCATTCAGAAAATGCAAACCTTCGTACAACTGGCTGAGCAGCACTTTTGTTCTGTGTGGGATGGGAAGTTCCCAATCCACTGCCAGAACACACAGTGCTGTATACTGTAAGTAGCAGAGGCTATATACAGTACATACAGCGCTGAGAGCCGCTGCAAGACATCACTGCATGTGAAGCAACTGTGCTTGTCCATCTGTATAATTCTTTGTCTTTATGGAGCTGATGCTCCACTTTATAATGCAGCATCCCCCCCTCTTCAGGTGTTGATTTGACTTACGTGAAGACTTTTTTGGGGCGGGTAGGCAAAAATCCCTCCAAAACTGCTTATCTATCCAAGTCCACCATCATGTGATCCACTAAAGCCCCTCCTGCAGCAGTGGCAGCCACTGATAAACCACTGTAGTCTGTATCCACTTCCTTGCTCCCCTTTGTAATATCCTCACACAAATGGAGCCTTCAGGATCTTGACAGACAACTAATAGGTAGTGGCTATATCTCCAGACAGCAACATGGGAACCTGAAGAAACAGTTGGAAAGAAAGCAGACTCGGGACTTGGTGCTTCACATGACCTTGGATTCAGTATTTGGGGCTTTCAGGTTAGTATATTTTTTTCAGCTTTAAAATACATCAAATATCCATGCGCATTTCATTTTAAATCTTATAAAAACCAAAAAAAATACAATATTTGACTTTAACCACTTCCCAACCGCCCTATAGCAGAACTATTGCTACAGGGCAGCACAAAAT